GTGCAAAACGAAACTGCGCAAAACGGTAAATTCATGATTGATCCGAAAAAAACAGATTTGACGTGTTATTCTCTCTTGTTGTTTGTTTGAAGTTTTAAGAAAATTTTTCTTAGCTGTTCCTGTTCAGCCTCAAATACTTGGAGCGTGACGACGCCTACAGCCTAAACCATACGGATTGGGGGCGTTTTGCGTCGTGGAAGAATTTGAGTACCGATGGTCCATACTGGTAGAAGAACTGGTGTTGATTCTCCCGTTGAAACAATGAAAATCTTGGCTTGCATTTGACTCTTTCAATTAGAGCATTTTTCATGACATATATTCTATTCGCAAATTCACTAAAATTTTCTTCTTCATAATCCAAACCTAATCCTACTATATTTCATGTCACAACGATGTATATCTACTATATCCAAATGCGTGTATTTACATCCCTTCTTCTGCACACATTAAGGTGTTGAGAGATTGTTCTTGCCATATTCATTGAATAGGGTACAAATATCGGGATAGAATAGTGTTTTTTCCTTTTATCTTCTAATTGTTGATGATTTTTACATTCATTATTGCAAGTAATCTTTAGCATGTAGATCAGAGTTCGCAGTTCTTGATATGGTGTACTTTGTCAACCGTGGCTGAGAATGGCTATATTATTGTTTGTGGGTTTCTTGTCCCTGTTCTTTGTCCCCGTTTTCTAATCCTCGTTTGTCTACCCTGATCACTAGTCATTTATGTATTTTATCCGTAGAAGTCTGAGCATATTCTATAGGTGACAGGCCTTTTCCTCTTCCTTCCCGACATTGCCGCTGTTCCTCGCTCGCCATAGCTCGCTCACCCTTGCTCACTGTCGCTCAGTCAGTGTGGTTGGGTGCAGAAGTGTTCAAAATGCGCACCGCAATTGCTACAAAACCCCCATGCCTGCTCAATCGGAAGACCGCGCGGGTCAACCCCTTCCAAGCTCAACAAACTCAAGATTCGAGAACGCCTTACGAGAGTTACTATGTACTTTTTCCCTTTTATATAATAAGTGTTCTATTTTTGTATGATTGCCAGAATATGTCGCCTTAGTTTGTCAGTGATCGAATCTGAGAGATGAATATTCGCATCAAATGCGTTCTATTGACTATATATGTGTGTGTGCGTGTGTGTGTGGCTCTCAAATGGACACAGTAATTGACAGTTCGTCAATGAAAATTTCCCTTGAAAATACGCGTAGTTGTCAACATTTTCTATGTTTCAGTGAATTTTAGCAGCTTATCAAGCAATGTATGTAGGCAGCATCGTACTCCTTATTCCAATGAAAGTTTTCCATTTTTTTACATGTTTATTCTCTCAAAAGAGCATACAATTCATTAAAAGTGGACCGGTCTCCGTATTAGTTGGAAATTTCCGAACTTTTACAAATTGAATTCTTTCAGAGCTGTTTGACATTGTACTCCAATGAATGGAGGGGAATGAACCCGCACCTTGAATAAGAATGTGCTGCTCTTTTTGATTATGCGCATACAGTTCCACCGAATCTTTCTGTGAAAGCGCAGAATTCAACTTTATTACCGAACTAGACAAGTTAGTACATTTGTCTTCTCCTGACGGCAGTATGCAAATGACAGGAAACTAAGCCTAAGCGTGAAATAAGTGAGAATTGAGTATCTCATCGCAGAGTTGTAAGATAAGCTCTCGCTTTAATCCCAATTCTCTGATGGATAATGATACTTGACGAAAGTTTGTGTACGTATATTTATGAAGAATAAGATATGTTTTGCTTAATGGGAGGTGCTGATTATATTCAAAACCAAAAATGGAGGGCATCGACAAACTGTATATTCAAATCGCGCATATTG